ACTGCAGATAGACACTTGGATTTCATCAAGAAATTAGCAAATATTATCCCGTCAGACTCCCAACATACTCTTCATGCACAGTTCTCTCCTTGCATCTCATCGGGTAGAACTAGAAGCAACTATAGAAGATTGTATGCTTGGACTACTAAGTACAAAAGCTCTAGAATACCTTATTTATCACACCTTTTGTGTGGAGAAAAAAGTATGGGACAATAAATTACCAACTCCTCCGATCGGTTTGATGTACTACCTATGCTAATAGAGTGTCTGTACCACACTTTGTTCATGTTTTTTCGTTGGATCTCGTTTACTTCTTGTCCCGTGCCCGTTGCACCTGGAAAAGAAAGCAAGAATGCAAACAACCTTCTTGAGGAAAATAACCAAAAGTAACGTTTGAATAATGAAATGTATCCACCATACAGAAAAATAATGCGTAAAACAGAACATGGAAAAAATATTTTTAGGTGATACAACATGTACGGTTATAAAAGGTTTTTTACTTGTGTTGCGGGATGCAATATAAAAAATTGGTGTGTCTGAGAGAAAAAAATACCAAAAGCGAATAAGAACTGGGTGAATCGCATCACTTAGTTATGTGACATGAGCGTGATGTTCTGGGAATCTCACGTTTCATCCAGAACGCGTTTGTTTTGAGAGGTTGATAGAAGGCTGGGTGACCATCACCGTGCTACTGATTTCTTCGAGGACTAGTGGATTTCGGTTACTTGGGTATTATTGGGAATACTTAGTTCTAGGCTCATGGGATTGCCTTCTAAGTAGGCCGGTTTCAGACTATCGATGATAACAGAGTCTTTTCGAACTTCCAGTCAACAATAGGATGAATTACGGGGATTATTTGACCTAAGTAGCTGCTGGACGGAATTGCATAACTCTATCATTGCAGTATCTCTGCTCGAAGTTTCTTCACCAATTGAGCATGTTTCAGTGACTGGCTGTTTCGTTATCTCTAGAATTAAATCTGCAGAAACATCTAAGTCGCCTATAATAACACCTTAAACTGTCACATGCACAGCCTGTACCGACTGTAGCAAATCGGATAAGAACAACTCTCTGGAAAGTCCTTCATCGAACTGAAGTTGGCCAACAACTTCAAGCATTCATGCTAGCATGTTCGCAGCCAACCGATCACCTAACAGGATGTTGCGAAGCATTTTTTCAAGACGCTGTCGATCCGTGAGAACTTTTCTTATTACGACGGTTGCTTTAAGCAACTCACACGGGTTACTTACCTCTGGGCTCGACATTTGCACAGGTACGCATTTGCTTGATCCTCGCGGTAGGGCGTGGACAACTGTGAGGAACTATGAACGTTAGTCACTTAACCCATGTTCAATGAAATCATACTCGGCTATCTGAAACCATGATTCTACATTATCTTGCCAAAATGACACGAGCTGAATCGTTTTGGTATTTAGTGGAATACGAATGACCTTCGGAGTATGATCACTCATGGCGAAATATATTTAGTTTAAAAATAGTACGAGGACAAATACAAAATGGAACGAACTCCCCGAATTATTCTGCCTGTTCACCAGAGATGAAGTTCGCGGTAGGGTCCAACAGTTTAGAGGCTAAAGGTGTTGACGTTCATGGATAGCACGAAGTATACTGACGAAAGATCAAAATTCCACAATTTCTATAGTATTCGTTCCGCGTAAAACAAAGGCAAAGAAAAACACCAGAATTGACCGTCCTAATCACGAATTATATTTGGGAACAAATCAGAGTGCGAGATGATTGCCCAACTAGCTAGGAATCGTGCACGAACGAACGAACGTAAAACGACGGCGTGCCAAATGGCACGGATGCTTGACAGGAAGCCTTCAGCTACAGAAATCGACTAAAACAGTGAAGGTCAGCATCCCATGTTCAGCGATGAATGCTGTGGCCAACAACTCTGGGGAATTATCTACCGCCACGAACTGCTTGGAATACTATTATTATGATTATTAATCATCAGTGTTATTTCTAGTTCAAGCCAACTCGAAGCGAGGTCAGAGTTGTCCAGGCGGTCTAGATAATTGGTGTTTTAGAATGGAATGCCCATAGCACGCGCAAATTTAATGGAAATCGACTAATCTAACACAAAAGTCCCCCTCATCTTTTTATCATTAATTACTGGACCTCCACTATAACTCAATCACACAACGCTGTAGGTTCACGTTGGCTGATTTGGTAGCCAGTGTACTCAAGTACTTATGCCTCAGTTTTTCCACAGTGCACCGAAGCTTAAAAAACCCAGACAAATCGGGAACATCATTCAAGTGTTTGCTCCGAGAGCATTGCACATTTGATGTCACAATACTATCTGCCGTTTTGAAGCTGAAGTGGATTTGGAAATATCTATGTCACGCTAATGACCTCGGAATATCAGATAGTTCCGTAATTTACGGCGGCACACCAAAATCAATGCTGGCTGGTTTGAACAGTGGCCTAGGTTAAACGTGAAGCTTTAACCTTTCCCTGCACTTCAGTGATCTTTAACTTCCTTCGAACAAACTACAGAAGCTTAGTAAATTTCCCAATTGGAGGAGAAACAGAGTTAAAGATTTGCGTTTACTTCGTATAGAGATCAAAAAGTTTTGTAACTTACTAGAAATGTGGTATGTATCTAGTGGCTTGAGGACTTGTACCCAAAGGCCATATGTGGTTGTCTAACACATAAGAGACTAATACTTATATCTCATAATTGTGTTACAATGTTATTTTTTTCTCTTATGTTGCAGATACGAGCCAAGTGAACTCACCTTCACCCTAGTCCTAATCCTAACCCTAACGAGCCATTAACACATTGTCCAAACAGTACTTAAAAAAGTAATCTGGGTGAAATTTGCTCCTGAGTTGGTGAATAGCGTTGATATTTCAGCTATGATAATGACGCATGCCGTTAGTCAACGACTGGCATGCGTTCAAGGTTATTGGAGCGTTCACACTCCTGGGACGCTATTGTTGAACCTTGTCCAGCTAACTAGTTGCCGAACGATGCAAATGGACTTAAAACAAGTGACTGGACGCTGAACTTGTCCTTTGAATATTCACACCCAACTCTGTATTTCTTTTTATAGCAAACTCTCTTGCTGCGCTTATGGGATTATTATTCTTCCTGCTGTTCGACAGTGTGTCGTGTTGGTTGACTCGTCAGGCGCGCTTTTTTGTGTTTCATGGGCAAAGCTGTTCCCATCGTCCTTACAGTTGTACATATGAAACAAATGTACACAAAACATATATATGACACAGACTGAAGCCTTCTCTTCCAGATCATTCTGCATTATAACGTGGGATTAAGGCTAACTATTATTTCGTATTGTTATTCGGTCACAACGCAGAACTTTGAAGCAGGACAACTACATACATTTCATGTAAAAGAAATGAGATTGGTTGTAAAATTTCTGATCATTTAAATTGAAGGTGTGAATGGTATATTTGTTAGGGCTACTTACATAGTGTAATTGTCAAAGGCGCCGAATTTGAGGTATTCTTTGCAGAGCTGTGGTAAGTAACATGTCTATTAAGACTACGCGTGGTTGGCGTAATAATATGGGAGTTGTCTCGAATTTGTGAGCAAACGCGTGATATATACACCCTGCTCTACGACGACTAAGTGAAGTTCGATGAACAACAGACATGTGGGTAACTTTAAACTAAAGCGACTCAAACAGAAGACCCAAGGAAACGGACATAATGACCTCAATCAACAGATTGCATGTAAATTAAAGCGCTCTTTGTATAAAAACCAAAGATAGTCCTACGCGGTGGCTTTCTCGTTTATGTCCCTGGCAAACCTATTTAAGCAGTACACAACTGTACTTAAATTCATCCAGATTGTTTTTTCATGGACTAAAATCTACACAAAGGCCTTGATGAGGGTGTATTGGTTCTTCAACCGTATTCGGCTGCTCCCCGTTAGTCACAATTCCAAGAACACATGGGACTTGTTAGAGGCATATGTTTGTCAATGGGATGAAGTATATTATGGCACTCAAATAACTGTTCTCGGACGCATACAGCTACGTAGCGGACTATCACTCTCAATGATAAGAGCCAACCCTATCTCAGATTTCATTTCCATCATTCTATTTCTGTTATACGTTTTGCTGTGGAGAAAGTCAGTTACTCATGGTTGTAGTATTAGGTGAAATGCATTGACGGCTTTTCTATATTTAGGAGCTTGCATTAGCTCAAATGTAGAGGGTGATGATGATGATGAATTGTGAGCACAGATAGGAAAAGTTCGTTTAAAATTTATCAGCATCAGTCACGTTAAGCGCAAAGGTAGTTTTCAGTTATCCACTAGAGGACGTGCGTATCGTGGGTCAACTAATAGAAGAAGGGTTAGGTATGAAGAAAAATTCAGGTGTGTTTGGTAGAAGCGCCTAGAACACCGAGCAGTCTGTTCCCTTGAAAAACTTTATCGCCCGAGGTAGGGTTGGGTTAGAAAAGAGTTAGAAATTATAAAAAATGCAACACCAAGAAATAGAGCTTTTATTTTTGAGCCATTTTATTTAATTTGTTGACATTATGTTCTGAATTCATACATAACAGAGTCAGCTGTTACTGCCATACTCTTTCAATATTAAGTCCTTACTAATGTTGTTAATAGAGGGTCTCATGACCGTGCCTGATGTGCGTTTTTGATTGTAGTAGTATCGTGTACAAAACTAAGCACTTCGCCTTCAGTTACATGTTTGCTCAACTCAGTATGCTTTTCGTACCATATGTTTCTTGCGATTCGAAATGTGGCAACCTAAGCTTAAGCTGTTAGCGGGATTCTGATTTTATCTGTTTGTTTGCGAAGTTGCTGTCCCACATTTGTGCTCGACTTGCATGTGAGTGCTTCGCGTATAATACTTGTAAACATGAGGTATATCCAGAACTCTATGATTTAACTTCTTCTAAACTCATCTTCATCTTGAGTTAATTTTGTTCACGAGCAGAATATATTTATAATCCTTTTATTTAGGAAGACACTAATTTACCTCATGGACGAGTTTTGCAGTACTCAGCCAATAGTCAATGCAGATAATTCCGCGTTCAACAAACCAGTTAGTGAGGTACAGATAACCTTTTACAGATGCGTATACTCACCTCTTAGGTTCCTGTTCTGTGCGTTCATTCTGTTGGAGAAAGCATAAATGAGTTCCCCATTGTAAAGAGTAAGTCCACGTTTGTTTTTTCACTTTATCCGTTACAGAATGTGCAATTGTTGGGCGCGACGCGAAATGTGACATACATATTAATTCTCCAGTAAGTATCCTTCATTGTGTTATATCAAAAGTTTTCCCCCTTCATTCCTGTGTACGTGAGTTGAGAGGCGATGCCCAAACTGAACAAGTATCATTGTATTAGTGATACTTGCGGATCTACTAAAATAAGTTTATGACTTGGGAGGAGAGCTTCATAATTTCTCGTCTTGAAATTAAAATTGTTTCTGGTAGACAAAACTGATCTGAGAGCGAGTTTAGGCCAATGTGGGACTACTTCCTGACAATTTTTGTGAGCATATTTTCTAGGTAGGCTTCAGACCAAAACCTACTCTATGACATACAGGACTTCACATTTTCCTACTTTGTTTTACTTCATGTATTGGAAATAGTTATGGAATGCTGTAGAAATTAGTCATACCCTCCAAGGTTACCATAATGTGTTTATTTCGCGTTGTCTCACTGTATACATTGTCTTTATATTTGTCGGAGTAAGAAAATCTTAGAAAAAGACTTTTGATCATCATTTGCAATCACTACTGATTTACTGATTGTGTGAGAAGCCATTGTACATTTATGTTGTGAACAAATTTTTGCTTATAATTTCATTAATACTTATGAGAAAGTTACACGGCTTTTTATTAATTCAAATCACTTATTCACTGACTGTCTTCAGCGTAGAACTTTGCACCGATGTGCAGCAGTTCGGAACGCCACAATTCACTTAGCACACAAAGCAATAGAAGAAAGTAAAAAGAAATGCAAAATAGAAACAGTAAACGGAGATATGAGGCATAAAGAATAGTAATATCAAAGAATCATATAGTTTTATTGGGTATTATAATTCATAAGGAGTGGATGCATCTGCGCCAGCCATTGAGAACGATTTTGGGCCATATCATCAATTGTCGCCAGTCATTGGCTTTTCCCGTCCCGAGGACCCCAACCAGGAAGTCTACCACTTCCTATATGGCTTAAACTAACTTGTGGATTTCACTGACTGATAAGGTCATGTTTTGGTTTGACCACCACTGGCTCATTTCCGACCTGACCCTATGTCAGTTAACACTGCTCTTCGAGGAAGGCGATGACTAGGCATGCGTAACACATGTCCCAACCATCTCAGTCGATGTAATTTCACAGTCTCGTCGACTGATTTCCCCGCCTTACCTAGCACTCGACGCCTAACCTCAATATTGCTCACCTTATTATACCACTTCACGCAGGAGATAGAACACAGACACCTATGGTCGAAGACTGCTAATCTTTTCATGTCTTCTACTCTCAATGGCCATGTTTCACTCACAGCCATAAAGGAGGACGGAGCAGACTGTTGAGCAGTACACACGCCCTTTGGTCGATAGTCGGATATCACGTCTACGCCAGAGACGGCGTAAACTGGCATATGCGAACCTAGCCCTCTGTATTCGTGCTGAGATTTCGTCGGAGACCAACCCGTTGTGGCTGATGGTACTTCCCAAGTAAGTGAAGCGGTCAACGTGCTCTACCACTTCACTTCCTATTCCTAATCTAGGGGTCGGTGAAGTCCAATCCTACAGCATCATCTTACATTTTACAGGGGCGAATCGCATGCCAAACATACGAAGATTGTTGCTCAAGGTGTTCAGTAGACTCTGCATTTTGTCAGCGTCCTCGCCTAGAAGGACTATATCGTCCGCATATTCTAAGTCGACGAGATTATTCCCTGGTAGTAAGTCAATCCTTGAGTCGCTGAAGTGTGTTAGGGTTAAGTCCATTAATACGTTTATGATGAAGTTGAATAGGAATGGGGATAATCGGCATCCTTGACGGCCGCCACTAGTCGTCACCACTTCAGATGACAACTCGCCATAGGCCCTCACCTGGCTGCATGAGTATGAGTAGAGTGCCTTAATCAGTGCAATGTATTTTCTCGGCATTCCCTTCACAACCAAGCATCGCCAGAGAACCTCTCACACGGGAGATAGAATGCAGACACCTATGATCAAAGACAACTAGTCAGGCTTTTTATGTCTTCCACTCTCAACTGCCATGTCTTGGTCACAGCCATTAAGGAGGACAGAGCGAACGACTGAGCAGTACACACGCCCTATGGTCGATAGCTAGCAGGTTATCACGTCTACACCAGAGATGGCGTAATTTGGCGGGCGTGTGTGAAACCATCCTGTCTTCGTGCTGAGATTCGGTCAGCGATCAACCCGCTGGTACTGGCTGATGCAACTTCCCAAATAAATGAAGTGGTCAACACTCTCAGCAACCACTTCATTCCCTATCTCTAAGCTAGGAATGAATCGGTGTAGTCCAGTCCTGTGGCATTATCTTACATTTGATTGAAACGAATCGCCTGCCAAACATTCGGAGACTGCTGCTTAGGTGAAGGTGGTCAGAAGACGCTGCATTTTTTCAGCGGAATGGAAATGGTAACAGTGGACACCAATGGTTGTCACCACTTCGGATGACAACTCGCCGTAAGCCCTCACCTGGCTGCGAGAGTTTGAGCAGAGTGCTGTGATCAGTGCAATGTATTTTCTCGACATTTCCTTCACAGCCAAACATCGCCATAGTATACCTCTGGATCGACGGAATCGAATGCCACTTTCACGTCAAGAAACACGACGATTTTTGGACACCGGTAACTACGCCTATCATCCGTAATATGTCCAAGGGTGAAGATATGATCAATACACTCTCTTCCTGGTCTAAAGCCTGTCTGGTTCTCTCATGTTTATTCCTCCCAAGCACCACTTAGTCTACTCATGATCATTGAGCCTAGAAGTTTTGGTACTATATAGGTGAAGCTAATACCCCAGTGATTATCACAAGAAGACTTGTCTTCCTTCCTTAATATTGAGACAATCAGTGACTTCCTCTGATTCCCAGATGCTGCCTAATATCTTAGTTAACGCAGACAGTAAAGTATCTCCGCTGTCCGTAAACATCTGGAGTCACTCCACCAGGTCCCGCTGCTTTGCCTCGTCTCAGATCAGTGACATTTAGGGACAGACGATCTGTGTAAATATCCTATTCAGGGAAGTGTTGGTTGCTGGGTAGGTTGAGCGTGGCTGTAGGCCCATTAAATTGCTCATCAAAGTGTTCTTTGTGTTGAAAAAAGGCTATGGGTTTCATGCCAAAAGTTGGCATCAATTCATGAAGACTTTGACAATTGGGTTGTGCTAGCCAAGTGAGTAGGTGTAGGCTGCATAGTTTGGGTCCTTGGTATACTAAGGGTCAGCGGCTAGAGACAGTTTCTTTGGCTGAAAATCGTTCTCAGTGATCCAGATGCATTCACTTTTTGTAATTTCCCGGATCAATTTAGGTCTTGTGTTTGTCCATGTAATTATTTCTTTTAACCGTACATATCTGCTCATGATAGCTTTATGAATCTCTATTTTCTCTACCTTTGTGTACAGTGTGGATTGCGTAAACCTGAACAGGTGCAATTTTGTGCAGAGTTCTGTGTTGAAACTCAGTCAGTCTAATTCGAAGCTGAGCTGGATTCCATTTACTACTGAGTTTATGTGTGAAGAACTTAGGGATATGTTCAGATTTCAACACAGTGAATATGTAAATCACACTAATGATTTGCAAATTGGTCAGCAGTTTGGCATCTACACAGTTCGAATCATGAAATTTCACCGTAGTTTCCGTTTTTTATTTTTTTAAAGATTTACAAAAAAAGGATACTGAACAAAGAATACTCTTTTCGATAACTTCATCATCAGGTTGTACAGTTATATATACATTATAGTGAATGAATGAATTAGTGTTATGAACAACATTAATGTTTAAATAACATGGAATCAATAATATCAATAGATTACAGTTCAGTAGTATTGGTTTGTAGGGATTCGGTTGATTGGTTACAGGATTTTTTTCCCAATGGTTCTCTAACCAATGTCAGCTCATGATGAAATCCTGTAACCAATAAACTGAATGTTAGAAAAATTAGGAAAGATAATATTACAAATTCATGAATATATAGTCTGTACTGAAGGCTAGGGCAGCAGTAGGGGCTGGACTTGCTTCTTTTGCACACAGAGCACTGGTTGTTTGAGGCGAATTGCAATAGCCTCTGCTATTTGGAGCATGTGACGCTTCAGTGTTTTTCGCAATTTATTAGGCACCCGGTAGATGATAGAGAAGGATTCTTCAACGCTGGCTTTGTGGCCGGTTTGCACCAAATGGTCCAATATCAAACTGTTAATGGTTTTCACTACACCTTTACTTAGCCATAGTGGGAAATGTTCTTGAGCACGAAAAATCAAGTTTCTAGAGAAACGGCCAATATAACTCGCTCCACAAGCGCAGTTCAATTGGTAGATACAATTTAAAGTAGCTAGTCTAAGTACTTGATCTTTCAGTCGAGGAATCACCATCGGTCGTGTAGAGAATAAGACATGTAGTTCATCAGCATTAAAAGCTCTGTGAACTAATTTTCTTAATCTCTTCGCAATCATTTCACTTGGCATATCGCCCTTGAATTGCAGTCGTATATAAAGAGGCTTCTTGTTTCCGGATAGTGAGTAGTCTTTTTCCGCTTTCTTTGTCATGTGTCTCTTGATAAATTTGTCTGGATAGCTATTTTCGATCAAAGTATCATATACAATGCCTAAATCATCTTCAGTTACTTCTTCTGAGCATATAGCTCTAACTCTGTGGCTGATGGTCTTTACTAAATTTCTTTTGTATTGAAGAGGAATATCGTATTCTACTGTAGATACAAACAAATGTTTTTCATCCCTTTGTTTGAGGTTATATAATGACACTAGGTAGACAGTAGTTTACTGGAAACCTTCAGTAGGGACTATAAATTTATGAATTTGTAGTATTATCTTTCCTAATTTTTCTGACATTCAGTTTATTGTGTTTATGTTGACTGAACTGTAATCTATCAATATTATTGATTCCATGTTATTTAAACATTAATGTTGTTCATAACACTCATTCATTCACTATAATGCATAAATAACTGTACAACCTGATGATGAAGTTATCGAAAAGAGTATTCTTTGTTTAGTATCCATTCTTTTGTAAATTTTCTGA